TAAAGACAAAAAAGCAGTTTCTTCTCACAGTAGCTAACTCCAATAATACTCTTTGATTATTTTTTTCTTTTCGATTGGAAAGATCCTCTGACGAACAAATTATTTTAAAAAATGCTTTTTCCAACAGCTTCACTACTTTTAATACATTCGTTCTCGATATAGACAAATGTGTAGATCCAGTCATTTTCACCATACATAGTCGAAGCAAATTTTTCAGTTTTTCGTGATTTTTTTTCTATTTACTCTTTCATAAAAACGACATCAAAATTCACATCCTCATTTTTATCACTTATCAATAGTATTGGACAAAAACAACAGTTCCCTGAATGTTTCTATCTGCGTAACTCTTTCAAATGTTCTCCAATAGAAATTCGATCTGTCCGATTAGATAAATTTTTATTAAAACAATTCTTCGAACAGTTCAATTGTGGAAACTGGTCGAACACAATTAAATAAAATTTCTACAACATTTCTGGACTTAATTCAGACTAAATATATCACACCTTTACCGAATTAACTGGCACATAACTCTTATCAAGTTGCCTATGTCAGGTTGAAGTTAATTCTCTCAGAGTTGGAAGTATCGAATTGCTCTTGAGTTGATCAGTTCCTTGAAAAAGAATATTTTGAAGAATTCTTTCGTTGATTTGATCTGAACTTGTGCGATGAATCTAATCTTCTCATACACAACATGAATCGATTTACAAAATTAACAAATCAAATTATTCAAACATCTACATATATAACAAACGATTTTTTAGTTTTCGAAGTTCTGTAATGAAACTTCAGTTAATCAATCATGAAAAAAGTTCATATATAGTTCATTTTATCAATCTTTATTATTTTAATTTGATATGTTGAGATCTTCCATCGTAGAAAAATCTTCTAAGAGTATTGAAGCTTCGAAAACGAAATCGCAGGTGGGAAGAAAATTTTAAAAATTTTGATAAAATTTAACTATGAGAATATCATATGTCAAAACCTATCTTAAATAAATCATTCGAGAATGTAAAAGTTTTGAAGATTGTTCCTGTTCGAATGATAAATGCTCAGGATGTTTTGAATTAATCAGAACAAGGATTCACAATATTCATGAAATAAAATATTCGTTTATATTTAATTACCTAATATTCATATCCAACCAATAAATTATCTTATCTTAATTGAATTTCTTTTTTCTTTCGATTAAATAACTTAGAAATATTTTGTTTTGAAACATATTCTGCTGAAATTGAAATTTTAACAAAGATTTTTCTGCAAATTACTTTGTGAATTAGTTAAATACTCAATAAGTAAAAGAAACATTATTTGACATCAATGACATTTATTATACAAACAAATTTTTAAACAAAGAAAAAATCATTTACAAAATTTTATTTCTTCAACTCCATTGTTTCGAAGTTCATCTATTTTTCATAGAAAAAATAAAATATTTGATAGCAATTTCTTCGATCTCGATTTGTTTGTTTTTTACTTATTTAAAATAAAATCCTTTTAAAGAATTTTCTCATGGAATAGAAAAGAAAATTAAATCAAAATTTAAAAAATGAACTAAAAAAATTTTAAAATACCGATAAGAATAATTTACATTGGGTCTGTGAAATATTTCATGTTCTTCATATTTTCAAACTTTTTAAAGATTATTTTTTAGTTTTTTATTCGATGTTTAAAACAACTGATCAAGACCACATTGAACTGTAAATCAATCTATTGATGTTTTATCGATTGTTTCATTTCGAATCATAGACAAGAAAAGATGTTCACATGTTGAACATTTTGCTTCTGTTTTATCAAATATTCTTTGTTGTTTCTATTTCGAAGTAAGCATGATTTAGTGGAAACTAATCTTTGAACGTATGTTATGTCAATAAAAAGTACGACACTGGGCTCAGTAAAAATTGAAAAGATGTTAACCTTCGAAATGAAATTAAATAGAAAAGATCGATTTGATTCAACAATTTGTCTTTAAATGATATTTCAATAAGATTATTAACAATATTGAAAATATTTCAACGAATATAACAATATATAGATAAAAACAAATTATCTCTTCGTCGTTTTTTCAACGTAGACTGACGAGTGAAACCACAAGATCGACGGATAGGATTTCAGAGAAACGTTTCTGCAGCACTAGTTTTTCTTAGCGAGACATTTGTTTTGTTATAAACTTTTTTTAATCCATCTAGATTGTAGGGAGCACGTCGAGTTGACTATAAAAACACTGTTCTTTTTTTCGTTTGAGAACTATTGCTGACACCATGAAAAACATAATTCTTACTTTTCCCTTCTGATATTTAAAGAACAAATGTTCTTGGTTTTTTCTGTAGAAATTAAAAGGATAAAGTAAGAATTCTGTTGCTGATAGCTTTAGTAATACTTTTCAAACAACAAAAACGTAGTGTTTCATTATTAATTCAACGTGCTCTATAATCTGCATGAATCAAAGAAGTATTTGATAAAAAAGTTTTCTCACTAGCAAAAGCTGGTTTTTCATAATTGGTTCTCTGAAACCCTATCTACCAGTCTTGTTATGGGATTTGAAATTAACATGGTCGATTACTTATAACTAATTAAATTTGATAAAAAATCAATTAAACAGGTAGAGGCTTTTCCTTCTGAGAATCAAAAGACTTTGAAAATAATATGAAAGAATTCAGATGAATTGACTGAATGGTCAGTTGAGAAATAAGCTTGTAAAGAATTCTTCAGATAGAATTTTGTAATATTTTTCAATGATATTTGATGTGTTTCAATGAAATAAATTGTTCATTCGAATAAACCTCTTCTATTTAAAGTCATTTCGAAATTTAAAATGTTTTTGATCTTTACTGACTAAATGCCGAACTATTCTATTAACATCCAGAATAACTGTATGATCTTTGTCCGCATGGGTTTTATATAAGACTTATGATTTTAATAGAATAATATCCATCATATTTGTTGATTATGATTGCAGTTTTGTAATACTATTCATATTGTTAAAGGCTTTCATACTGATAGTCTTATTGAATGAAGTTTACTTTTTTCAATTTACTCTTTAATACGCCAATTACTTGGACTTATCATTTTGACAGTTTTATTTAAAAAAAAGCCTCAATATGTGTTTCAAAGCCAAATCGATGAAATGTGGTCAATATAAAACTTACGGTGCATCATTCAATAAGATTTAAGTACATATGACTATGTCAAACGAAAATTATTGATAAATGGAAAACTTTTAGTGTAGAAAAATGTGAGGAAATGATTAACAGTATTTTAAAAAGGTTGAAAACAAAGATTTAACTATATATAAGTTTGTCATAGATATAATCGATTTCCTGAGCGGGATCGAAACTTTTGAATAACCCTTCATCTTCTTCTTTTTGCATTCGAAATAAGTAAGTCGAAAAGAAAACATCAGCACATTGATTTCTGTTTGAATGAGTTATCGAACTTCTTTATGAAAAATCGATTCATGTTTTTATCAATCTTAATCAATATTTGAAACAATCGATAAGGAAAAAATTAATTTTTTGAAAATTTTTCTTTGTTTTGAAAATTTATTATTAGTTTTACTATTAAATTATTGATGTCAAATGAATTGTTGAACTTAAAGAATATTTAATGCATCTGGATAAAACTTTTGAATTAATCTTTGTCAAAATTTTAACTTTGTCAAAAGAATTACATTTGCGAATGACCGATATTTGTTAAAACAACATTATATTTGTCTTCAATTTTCGATAAAAATTCCTTTTTAAATTTCATATGAAAAAGAATATCACCTGTATTTGAATAAATTTTCGTCATCTTTTCATTTTGTTTCTTGGTTAATGAATCGAACAAAATTCTTTTCATGTTTAAACTCATTCAAAAACTTTTTCGATTTTATTTTCTCTAGAAACAAAAATTTATCTCTAATTGAACATTATAATAAGTTTTGACTAATTGAAAAAGAAGAAAAATAAATTGGAAACAAATATCTTCGACAATGTCGAGTTAGCAAAAAAAACATTCAGTAGGCAAATTGATCTTCTCTCGAACATGAAAATATCTCTATATGTCTTTTAAAAAGTCATGCTTTTTGCTACCCCAACGATATAATTTTCCCAAATCTTTTTTGTTCGTTTTGTTGTTACTATACGTTTATTTCGTTTCTTTTTAAGCTAATACAGTTTAAAAAAACGATATGGTATTAATAAAGAACATTTCACAAAACGAGTATCTTTGTTATAAAATATACTAAATCACATAAAACACGATTAGTTAACACTTCAGAATAGGAACATTTTTCACAGGATGAAAGAACTCACCCATAAAACGCTATTATTTCCTACGGTTGAATAGAAAAAAAGATTAGGTTTTTGGTTCTTCGGTATGTTCTTCAAAATAACTGTTTTTATTGAGTTTTCATTTTTGAACTTGCAATTTGTTTATCTCTTTCTAAATCAGATTCTTGACCAATGTGATCATGACCGATATTTAATGGCAGTAGATGAAAATTTCTGATTAAACCAGTATCCATAGGAAATATTTTATATTCATTCAATTATGAAAGCAGTCATATCGTTGACTGTTCGTAAAAGGAGAAGAATCGGAATGAAGAATAACTGAACTTGGTCATAACAAGTATTGTTTTTTTCACATGCCATATGCATACCTCTGTTAAGTACATTTGATATTATTCAAGTACAGATCGGCTCATTTAATTCTCTCTAAAAAGATCGACAAATTAATTTAAGAAAATTCTTAAGTCAAGAAAAAACAACAAAAGCAAGTTAATTCTGATTGCGATATATGCTGCTTAGGTTTTACACAATTTTCTACATTGTTAGACTCAGTGATTATTGTATTTGCATATTTCAACATCGAATAAAGATTTAGTGTCTTAAAATGACCGAGAAATGAAAATTCGACAAAATATATTTCGCCATCTCTTTTTTTTACACTTTCAGATAATAAAACAACAGATTGCTACGGTACTTGTATTATTGACAATAAATACAAAATAAGTAAGTATTATGGGCGGCGTATCATCTACATCGGCAAACTCTTTAAAACATATCGAATGGATATGGCAATCGAATACAAATGCATGGTCAGAATCGGAGCCAGCCGAATGGAGTCATTATTCGGATGTAGAAAATCTGATCATCGAAGAAGCATTCTCAAAAAAACAACCACAAGTCATCTTGGATGATTATTATATCGATTTCAAAGACAATCTTCAAATATCCAACATTGGTGATCCCAAGCAGCGACCTATAAAACGAGTAGTGCGTGAAAGGGAAGACAAAGATTTAAGAAAAGAACGTTTTATGGATGTTCCTATTGCTTCAACACATTCATTTGGTGGTCAATATGGTTGGATATCGCCATTTGTAATCGAAGTCAGAAGAGACTTAGATCTTCAATCAGATGAATTACCTTCCAAAAAGAAAAACATAATCCCGATGCTTGTCGAGAAAGCTGCTTGTGGTATTATTGAAGAAGGCAAGCATATCGGAAAACAACAAGAAGCCGAGTATTTGGCTAACATGCTTAGAAAGCAAAAGAAGAAGAGGATGGAAGAAGTGTGGCAATGCTGTGTTTATCTTTACTCTTTGGAAAGTTTCTTGTACAAAACGTTGAACACGACCATGAGATTAGTAGGAGACAAGGAACATGAACAAGTCTGGCGAAGTAAAATACATACACTGGGTCCCTTCTGTTTACTACTCTGGGATGATCCAATTAATAAGAGAATGAAAATCAAAACGATGCTTTACCGAGGAGCCAATCTAAAACCTGAACATATTGCCACTTACAAAGAGATGGCCCAGCATCCCAACAAATATCGATCATTTCAAGCCTTTATATCTTGTAGTCGCAATCGTCAAAAAGCAACAGAATTAGGTAATACTTTACTCATCATGGACGTATTGTATGGTTTTACTGCCGATCTTCGTGGATTATCTGAATATCCTGATGAAGAAGAAGAACTTATTACACCAGGTGTTTGTTTCTGTGTTAGACGTGTTGAATTTGATTGCACAACAAACAAACATTTTATCCACATGGAACTAAGACAAATATGGTCTGGTAAGAGAGAAAAAGTCTTTTCTAATGGTTTTTATAACATAAGAAGTATTTGACCTAAATCTTTCCATTTTCGTTCGATATGTCGTATTGAAACTACATTAAACGACGAAGTTGTAACTTCGTCATATAAATGTGTCAAAGTTCTATATAATGTGGTAGTTAATAAAAAAATTAATGAATTGACTGCTTTCTTATAATACAACATAAATAAAAGTTATCTTGTTTTTAAAATATAATCATTTATTTGATAACAATAAATAATACGCACAAATTATTACAAAAAAAGACAAAGTCTAGAGTCATATATATAAACAAGGCATGTAACAACTTTTCATGGTTAAATTTACTTAAGTCTGATATCGGTTGTTATAAAATGTATAGTATTTATATGTAGATTTAACCAGAGACAGTTAATTAACAGATGAAAGCCGAAAAGAAAACCCTGTCTAAATAACGATATTAGAATTCATAACTTCATTTTAATCGTTGCACAATGGACATATTAGTGTGGAAGAAATGATACTGTTCACTTGCTTCAAACATCAACTACGTATAACAAACTATCATCTATCAGCAATACTCGAGCTTGCACTAAAATTATATCCTTTGTCTGTATTATCTTCTGTTAGTTATGGATTTTCTATGAGGAGAAAGTTACCTTTTGTTCATGCATTATAAAACTAGACTAGTCAATTGATAATCGTATTAAATAAAATTTGGACACATTTATATGCCGAAGTTACAAGTTCATCGACTGATGTAACGTTAATACGATAGATTCGTAATAGAATGACACCAGGGTTGCCAAATCCAAATTTTAGAAATCAGGAGCTTTTTTTAAAATCAGAAGTTGAACAGTAGATTTTTTCTAGAAAATCAGGAGAAAAATCAGGAGGTTTTTTCCAAAGAATCAGGAGAGAATCAGAAGACTTTTCCAAAAAATTCGGAGAAAAATCAGAAGATTTTTTGAAATCAGGTTAAACAGAAAAGTACTAGACAGTTTTCTCTTGTAGAGGCAATATTGTCACTGTTAATTTACAAAGTCTTGTGACTTTTCTCTATCAAATGAGTAGGGAAATAATTATCTCGCAAGTGAAATAAAGAAAAGAGATGGTTAATCATGAATATGTCTTGATATCTCAAATTGAAAATCTTGAAACAAAAGATCTCGAATAAATCTATGTCTGTATACCTGTCTACTTTGTTCATAATATAATCTCGGGTCTGTCGTTTCGATCGCCGGAACAGACAACAACGGGTCGAAAAGACGCTGAAAAACTACGGAACTGAGCGGTTCCATAATGTTTCGGCGTGTTTCTTACGCCGGATATGTTGTATTCGGCAATATCTGATTCTTCAAAATTGCTGGATTGATTACAGATCCTGTGATATGCGGATAGATTACCTTATGCGATTGAATTACTGTCAAAATGAAGTAACTCCTCTCTTCCCAATCACATTTTGGATGATCGTATGTCTCCAAATTGTACACGGAGAAATATAATCGTATAGAAAGAAATACAGAGTAAAGCGAAAACTGTTGACGAGCTTTGTTTGTCCATAAACGATCGTATTTCTGCGCATACGATCACGAAGTTATACAACTGCAATACTGAGCCATTGTAAAACGCCGTCTCTCTCCGATTACGAGCGTGTCTGTTTGGCATAGGTTAATATTGACAACGGTTTGATGAGACTTGGAAGACATCGGATACGATGGAATGAGATAGTAACAAATGGGGGGGGGGGGGGGGGGGGGGGGGGG